AGACCAGATCGTACTCCTCAGTAACCCGTCCCACCACCGCAAAAAAGTTACGGATGGGTTCATAGTTCGCAATGAATCGCGTCGACGTGTACCGTTGCAATAGTGCTCTAATGCTATGGCCGGGAAAGCAGCCCCAGACCGGTGTCGTTTGGCGACGGCCTATGCTTCTCGGAGAGTATGGGGAACGGGAGGAAAAAGAGAAGACGATTTTTAGGTGCGCCAAACTCCAATGAAACGCAGTGTACAGATCAGCTTTTTTGGTAGAGAAAAAAAAGCGTCGAAATAAGGATTATTGTTAAGGTTATGTATATAGATGGGGTTTATTGGATACGAAAGCGTTTTGGGTCATCAGCTCCGGTGCTGCTGTGACTAAACAGACAGAAATGTGATTAGTGGTGTCTCTGAATTTAACCCAGGAGTCACACTAAAGTAACTGGGATTCCCTCATCGCGACCGTGGGTGTTATGTTTTCGTTGAGCTTTTTGAAGTCCCCTCCATTACTACTAATGAACTTATCCTAATGTTCATTCCGTTGCTGGAAGCATCTTGCACATAAGGTATCTTTGGTAACTGCACCTCTTCTTCGGAAGCTGTTTTATTCAACACAGCCGTCCCTGCTTCGTTTGTGCCGTATACAGAAGAAACTTTGTTTTGCTCGTGAGATCATCATCTTGTCTGCTGAGGATGATGAGGTGTCAGTGAGGCTACGTTTGACGCGTCGCCAACCCATTCACCACCAGCTGTTGAAGCGACTAAGCTTTAACAACTGGTGGAAAACGACTGACACAGCTTTATGATAATTTTGTCGCTTGCCGAAGGAAAAGAAGAAAATCGGCTGTCGCTGCGCGAAACCCATCCATCTTGACACGCCCCATCATCAGCAGCGAACGCGACTGTATGGTCTATAGGTCATCCCATTCAAAAGTGCCGTGACATATAGAGGAATGGCAGAAAAGCAAAGGGGATAGAGCAGCGGGCTACTATACCATTTGGAGGCTAGTACCTTAGCTGTGTATCTGTGAAATTTGGCGAACCTACCCACAGAAAAGTTCTCGAGAAATTGAAAAGAAGCCCGAGTGGTGAAAATCAGCGCCCGATTTTCAAATCAGACGTCATAAGAGGGAAGTGCGCTGCTCAAATTTGACCAGTAGTTGTGTGTAATGGTGTTCTCGAAATACAAGGTGGAAGGTTTGGTTCAGGAGCCCGAAGAAGGAAGAAAGGAAAAAATTTGTTGTCGTGGATGGTCCCATAATGTTCATCCTGCACAAGAAAAAAGGGTGGATGAAGTCAAGCGCTGAATGTCTGATCCCAGAGCCTGGACCCTTGTCGAGCTTCCCCGCGAGTCTGACATCCCAGCTGCAACTGCTGCCCGAGTTATGTCCGATAAACTGAGGATGGTCAAGAGGGTGTGCGCATGGTACCTAATTTTCTTGTAGAAGCACGAACGCAGTACCGATTCTATGCCTCTAGCAGTAATGTTCTCAGCATGAGATGTCATTCACGACTGTGAAAACGCACCCCGGCCCTAGATGAAATATGGGTGGTCTTGGACCTCGAGCCAAAACTCACAATCGTCAATTTTGTATGAATGCAGATGAGAAGCCGCCCGAGTTCTACCATGAGGGGCGCACTTGTTGAAAAATCGAAGGTACCAGAGGTCCAAAGGCTTTCGGGGCATTGGGAGCGGGTCATTGGTGAAGCAGGGATTTACTCAACTTGGAGCCAAAATATTACTTTTTATCTATTCTCCTCTTTATTTTATTCGGGAAAAACCGACGGCACTTTTGAATGGGATGACCTAATAGTTCGCTGCGGACGAGTGATACGAACGACATGATACGGGCTTGTCACTTGCTCGCTTTAACAGCTGGTGGAAAACGGGTTAGGCACCGTGCCAAACTTTATCGTGTCTGACACGCCCCGCCGTCCGCAGCGAACTACACTATATGTGCTTTCTTTGTGCCGCAGTATTGTAGACGCCGCAGATAAATGCAACAAACCGCACGCGTCGTTGTGCTAAGGCTCACTTGGCGTGCTGTGTGCGAGAGGTCGCAACTCTCCTAACCACTCAATCCCGTGTAACTAATATGCGACGGTTTTATTTTCAGATTGATAATATTGTGACTGATGAAGTTGTTGATGCCGAGTTGGGAGACACTCCTGCTGATGCAGCCAATTCTGCGAAAGTAACTCGCAAAACGGTACTAGTTTCATCTAGTTTTTCACAAATGCTACTCAGTGTATTTTCTTTTATTTGTATTTTATGCGCACATAAGAAAGCAGGATGAGTAAGTAAGAAGCTGAATCATTTTCTGTACAAAACGTAAGAGGTTCTGCGTTATTATTCGCTCTACAGATCCATCCGGATGCATTACCTCATTTTCGGGCTGAGATATTATCAAAGCGTTACCGATGGCATAAAGAAACGGAATCAATGATTCTAGCACGATTACCGTTCGAAGAACAGGTTGATTTTTGACATTATCCAGTCGAGCGTATTTTTGATACAATAGATTCTTTAGATCAAAAGGCCCTACTTCCACGTGAAACCTCTAGAGGCAGAGCAACTGAAAAACTGGCGCTTGTACCTAGATTTCGAGATAACTGAAGGAGACGAGACGCGTATAACTGTTCTTTTTGAGCGGTGCTTGATAGCTTGTGCATTGTCGACGACCAGTTTTGGACAAAGGTTTGTTCTTGTACATCTTTGAATTCTTTATTTGGTGATTTTCATCAAGCAGGTAAGAATCACAGGCAAGTCTGGGCCATCTAGAACAAGGTGTTGATTGAATGGCGTCCTCGTACGATGCATGCTAAAATCTATTTTATAACAATTTCAAAGAACATCTTTTGGACACAGCTTTGGCGTTTTTTTCGCACTACGACTTCCAGCAGGGTCATGGATGTCGAATCCTTACTGAGCAACATTTTGTTCAAGGGGGTACTGACAACACAGGTTGCGTTTCAACATAGCTACCACCTTAGCGCTTCTCTATTCCTGCAGCGTAGCTTGCGAATACACTGCGTCCCAAAAGTATAGTTCCACCCATAAATCTCACAATATCCTGTCTTATACGACGTTTTCAAAAAACCTCTGATGGAAAATGTGGTAATTACCAGACGCAATTTCCGCTATGTACACCGAGAACCAAACTTTTCAGATGCAATTCAATTTTTTTATTTTTTAAAATTTCTACTTTGACAATTGTCCACTTATAGTTCCCCAAACAAATCATCATATATAACAACAAGTTGTAGAACAAAATTAATAAATCTTCCAATTCAATGATGTATTGCAGCAACATTCCTGTTAGCCAGTTGAAAGTGCGGTTGTCCATGCCATCGATATAGGGTTGCCAATAAGTCTTCTGTCGACATGGTGCCATGCATCAATGATTGCCTCCTTGAGCTCACGGACATTTTGGAATCGCGCATGGCGCGCGTAGATCTCTGCACCATGACGCCCCACATCATTTTTCGAATAGATCACGTACCGGCTATTCGCTCGCGAGGCAAAAGAGCTTTTGATGACGGCTAACTACGATAGAGTGCTCGGCTGACATAGTTTGTGCATTTCTTGCCATGAAAACAGGACTGTTCACTGCCAGATTCGCCAGAAAGAAGCAGACCTCGTCGCATGACGTTTACATAGTCGGAAGATTCATTTTCTTCGATACGAAGCACAGCTTCAGACGTCCCGTTGATGCGATCGCAGCCCAGACCATGACACCACCCCCTCTGAAGTTCCGCCTAGAAAAATTAAGCTTATCTTTCCTCAGGTATCGTGCCAGTAAAATTGATTCCATCTGGGCTGTCGCAGTTGGATTTCTTCTCATCGGAAAACACGACCTAGAGAAAAAAATCTGAAAATACAAGGCAGACGCAGTAGGGCACCGCAGCCGAAAACTAACCTTACTCCAATCTCTTCGGCAGCATCTTATAGCGAAGGCAATTCGGTTTTCGCAATGTTGTTCTGTCAAGAACGGTGCCTTCCTCATTTTCTTACTCGATGAATGAACCCAACTTCCTTCATGAGACACCCCAAACAATACTTTTCGAAACATTTGAGCTTTTAGATTAGACTTGATTCTCTGGCCTGACATCGTGAAGTTGGACGCTTCTCTTAAATACGGCGCTCATCTCGATCAGACAACGAAGGAGGACGTCCAGAACTCTTCTTGATTCCATATCCTGCGGGTTCCCTGACAAAATTATTTATAACATGATGACTGCGGCCCAACTCCCTTGCGGACGGTTCGACAGTCCTTGAGCCTTCTTTGCGGTAACTGCCTTTTTCGAAATCCGGCAATATCGCCTTCTCGCCATAACCTGGAAGAGGTGAAAAGTGATGATGATGAGACAGCTTGACCCGAAAAAAAGAGACGCAGTGGGAAAATATGCGGTAGAGTTATGCTTTTGGGATATTGTCAAAGTGAGAAATTTTCAAAGGAAAAAGAGTTGCTACGAAAAGTTTGTTCTCCATGTTGGCATGCAAATGGCACTCTCTGCCGCCGAGTTATATCCGATAAACTGAGGATGTCAAGAGGGTGTGCGCAGTGGGTGCGCCTACTTGTCTTGTCAGAAGGCACGAAAGCGCGGTCCCACAGTCTATGCTCAGCAGTAAATGTTCTCCACATGGCGTCATTCCCGCTGTGAAACGCCACCGCCGGCCGGGCCCGGTCCTAGATGAAATGTGGGTGGTATTGGACCTCGAGCCAAAACTCACAATCGTTAATTTTGTACGAGCAGATGAGAAGCCGCCCGAATTCTACAATGAGGGGGCGCACTTGTTGAAAAATCGAAGGTACCAGAGGTCCAAAGGCTTTCGGGGCATTGGGAGCGGGTCATTGGTGAAGGAGGGATTTACTCAACTTGGAGCCAAAATATTTATTTTTTATCTATTCTCCTCTTTATTTTATTCGGGAAAGCCCGAAGGCACTTTTGAATGGGGATGACCAAATAGTTCGGTCTGCGGATGATTGATACAAAATCATGATACTGTGGCTTGTCAACTTGGTCTCGGCTTTAACAGGCTGGTGGAACGTATTTGGTCACGTACCACAACTTATCGTGTCTGAACACGCCCGCCGTCGCGCGTAACTACCACTATATGTGCTTTCTTTATGCCGCAGTATTGTAGACGCGCCGAGATAAAGATGCAATCAAAACGACAAACGCGTCGCTTGTGCTAAGTCACCTGGCGGCTTTGTGTGCGACGAGGTCGCACCCACTCCTAACAGCACTCTCCCGTGTAACCTAATATGGGACGGTTTTTATTTTCAGATTATATATTGTGACTGATGCAAGATTGTTGATGCGAGTGGCGAGCCACTCCTGGCTGATGCAGCACAATCTGGAAAAGCAACTCGCAAACGGTACTAGTTCATCTAGTTTTTTACACAAATGCACTGTATTTGTATTTTTATTATTTGTATTTATGTCGCAACATAAGAAGCAGGATGTGTCAAGTAAGAAGCTGAATCTATTTTCTGTACAAAACGTAAGAGGTTCTGCGTTATTATTCGCTTTACAGATCCATCCGGATGCATTACCTCATTTTCGGGCTGAGATATTATCAAAGCGTTACCGATGGCATAAAGAAACGGAATCAATGATTCTAGCACGATTACCGTTCGAAGAACAGGTTGATTTTTGACATTATTCAGTCGAGCGTATTTTTGCCTAACACTAGTATTCTTTAGATCAAAAGGCCCTACTTCCACGTGAAACCTCTAGAGGCAGAGCAACTGAAAAACTGGCGCTTGTACCTAGATTTCGAGATAACTGAAGGAGACGAGACGCGTATAACTGTTCTTTTTGAGCGGTGCTTGATAGCTTGTGCATTGTACGACCAGTTTTGGACAAAGGTTTGTTCTTGTACATCTTGAATTCTTTATTTGGTGATTTTCATCAAGCAGGGAAGAATCACAGGCAAGTCTGGGCATCTAGAAAAGGATGTTGATTGATGCGTCCTTCGTCGATGATCTCAAATCTATTTTATAAATTCAAGGAACATCTCTTTGGACGCAGCTTTGGAGTTTTTTTTTCGCTACGACTTCCAGGCAGTGGGTCATGGGTTCGAATCCTTACTGAGCAACATTTTATTTCAACGGGGTACATACAACAAGGTTTGGTTTCACATAGCTACCACCTTAGCGCTTCTCTATTCCTGCAGCGTAGCTTGCGAATACACGCTGCGTCCCAAAAGTATAGTTCCACCCATAAATCTCACAATATCCTGTCTTATACGACGTTTTCAAAAAACCTCTTAATGGAAAATGTGGTAATTACCAGTGCCAATTTGCATGCCAACACCGAGAACTAACTTTCCAGAGCAACTTCAATTTTCTTTATTTTTTGAAAATTTCTCACTTTGACAATGTCCCAAAATATAGTTCCACTAAACAAATCGATTCATAAAACAACAAGTGTACAACAAATGAATAAATTGTTAATTCAATGATCTATTGCAGCCCCATTCCTTTGAATAAGTTGGAAAATGCGGTTGTCCATGCTCGAATAGAGGTTGTCAATAAGTCTTCTGTCGACATGGTGCCATGCATCAATGATTGCCTCCTTGAGCTCACGGACATTTTGGAATCGCGCATTGTGCGCGTAGATCTTGCGCACCATGAAGCCCCACACATTCTCGAATAGGGTTCAAGTCCGGGCTATTCGCTGGCCAGGGCAAAAGAGCGATTTGATGACGGCTGAACCACGCTCGAGTGCTTCGGCTGACATGAATTGGTGCATTGTCTTGCATGAAAACAGGACTTTCATGCCGAATCCTTCGCCAGAAAGGAAGCAGACCTCGTCGCATGACGTTTACATAGTCGGAAGAATTCATTTTCTTCGATACGAAGCACAGCTTCAGAACGTCCCGTTGATGCGATCGCAGCCCAGACCATGACACCACCCCCTCTGAAGTTCCGCCTCGAAAAATTGAGCTTATCTTTCCTCAGATCGTGCCAGTAAAATCGATTTCCATCTGGGCCGTCGCAGTTGAATTTCTTCTCATCGGAAAACACGACCTAGAGAAAAAAAACTGAAAAGACAAGCAGAGCAGTAGGGCACCGCAGCCGAAAGCTAACCTTACTCCAATCGGTTCGGCAGCATCTTCTAGCGAAGGCAATTCGGTTTTCGCGATGGTGTTCTGTCAGGAACGGTGCCTTCCTCATTTTCTCTCTGAGAATGAACTCCGACTTCTTCAAGACACGCCAAACAGTATTTTTCGAGACATTGAGCTTCAGAGAGGACTTGATTTCTCTGCATGACATCGTGAAGTTGGACGCTTCTCTTAAATACGGCGCTCATCTCGATCAGACAACGAAGGAGGACGTCCAGAACTCTTCTTGATTCCATATCCTGCGGGTTCCCTGACAAAATTATTGATAACATGAATGACTGCGGCCCAACTCCCTTGCGGACGGTTCGACAGTCCTTGAGCCTTCTTTGCGATAATCTGCCCTTTTTCGAAGTCCGACAATGAACGCCCTCTCGCCATAACCTGGAAGAGGTGAAAAGTGATGATGATGAGACAGCTTGACCCGAAAAAAAAGACGCAGTGGGAAAATATGCGGTAGAACTATGCTTTTGGGATATTGTCAAAGTGAGAAATTTTCAAAGGAAAAAGAGTTGCTACGAAAAGTTTGTTCTCCATGTTGGCATGCAAATGGCACTGGTAATTACCACATTTTCTATCTGGAGGCTTTTTTGAAAACGTCGTGTAGGGCGGGATATTGTGAGATTTATGGGTGGAACTATACTTTTGGGACGCATGCAGTTCTCATCCATGTTTAGCTCCTTGTGACGCATATGAACGCCTTTGGGATGATGGTCCTAGCAGCGCACTTAACAAGCGTTTTCTAGCCGAACCTGAATGATTTTCGTGTTTTGTTACCAAACTTGGATGAAGGGTTCAAATTACCAGCTGGGGTAAGTTTCGGAAAAATCTGAAACCTCGAGCTGATTTCGGAAACGGTCGGATAGTCGTCAGTGGGAAAGGTGCTGCTGTGATTCCACAGCGTTAACACGCTGGCTCGCTTCCCTCTATAGCGACCAGCATTGCCCAAAAACGTCTCCCCACAAGCGGTAGTCGCACAATGAAGCTCGCGTCTGAATTCGTAATGCTTCTCACACAGCGGAATACTAATTTTCCATAGTCTGACCGCCGGTCGATGCCCACTATGGCTAAATCGAAACTTCAAACCATATTGAATAAATGCTCTCAACAAACAGCGCAAAACAACTGAGACAGTCATGGCGTAATGTGTATATGCAGTATATTAAAGGCAGTTGGCACGATAACTTGGTACTATGTCTAAAATGGAGGCAGCGGTGCTAAATAGTGGGAACTTGGCGAAAAGGCGAAACGATACAGTCAAAAACCTGCTAAAAAGCTTTCGTTCTCCACTATACAGAACTCAATTTCGGGCGAGTTCCCCATTGGCATCGTGCTAATAACCGCTACATTAGGTACGGCTGCATGTATGTGCTCATATATCCATGCAGCACCGCAGCCGCTTCATATCAAGCCCTTCGCTCATATTTTACTCCGCAAATGAAGCCATACGAACATCAGAATAGGTCGGACATTTATGGATAAGCGGGCGCGGTAGGCGTCCGAGTCGGTATGTCCGGGGTCAGTTTGATAGGGCGCTACAGGGGCACCTTCCTTGGAAAAGGCACCACGCAGCGCTTGCTCAGGGGCTCTGAATTCAGTCCTGCCCGGCATATTAATCCTACTCGTGTTTAGGAGTTTCTCAAGCCAACTGCGTTTAATTACTTAAGGTACACTTTGTTAGCCCTTCACTGCCCCAATTTTCGAAAGTCAGGCTAGTTCCTTGACGACTTTCTTTTCTAAGAGCAGATTTTGCTAATAATCGTCTCCGGTAGTACGATCCCCGAACACAGATATCGCATCGGCCATGCGCAAAATGGCTTACGAGGAAGGTTGATCGAAGTGACCGTTCGAAATGAGATGTATATTGCCCGATGGGCCTTAGAACGCTGTGACAGCCGATGGGCCATTAGGACGCTGAGTTACAATTATGCGCTGCTAAGTGATTGCCCCGAAGCCACGTATATGCAGTTTTTTTGATCTGGTAATTTTGGATTTTAGCGAATTAGGGAGTTTCTTGTGCCTCACATGTATGTAAGGCACAAGAAAACTCCTAAATTCCATAAAATTCCTTAAAGAGGGCAGTCTGTGATTTCCCCGTACGTAACGCTTTAGTCTAAGGCCGTCTTGTGCCCCGGTATAGTAACGCTTTAGTTCATTTTCAAGAGATATTTTAGTTTCGCATTCTGCGCCTTTCTTTGGCGCTATAGTCGCTCGAACAGGCGTCATCACGTGGTCGAGCGACTTTGGCGTGAAAGAGGAGCAGGATGTGCGGGAGCCGAAAGTGTCCATGGCATACGTTTCTTGCGTCGACGAGAGTGTCGCATTCGTACTCTGAGCTCAGATTAGCCGTGGGGGCAAGTTCCTAACCAAATTTGAGATTCTTATCGGCCTAAATGCCTCTTGAATCTATCCTTATCAAGAACTCTGTGATCAATGGCCGGATTTCGCCTAAACAGTATTCCTGTGTTGGTTACTGACGCTCCTGATGGAAAGTTTCGGTCCGCTCCATTTTTCGGCTTCAGTGTCATTTGGCGTCAGTTTGGCGACACAACAGCGAATTATGTGGCCGAAACCAGCGATCAGTAGTATCCTTCAGGAGTACTCAGGAATGGCTCCAATCTTTCAAAATAAAATCTTTTGGCAATCAGGCCCCCTAAGCACGCAAAAGTGCTCTTTAGATGTAGAGAGCATATTCAAAACGGCGGAGTTATCGAAAAGTTCGGTCGCTTATCCATCATGCCATCGGAGCACATGCACATGTTCAATGTGCTCACTCATCATTTAGATGCTGTTAAATATTGGTGACCACGAGCACTGGCTTGCTTAATAAGCCTCCGTAGTTTTGCTCGGTAGAATCGTTTTGAAATCAGTGTCTAAAGACACTTCGATGTACATCCCTTTTCAAATGGCCACTTCGACCAACCATCCATCCTGGTTAGCATTCGTGCTATAGACGACGGCACAACACGCTTCTTCTGACGCTGGCGCGTGTAACACAGACTCTGGGCTTTTTCGTGCCAAGCGGTGTGCTAGGGCAGTTAGGGATGCCAGGCAGCAGCTTTTCTGCCTCCTGCGGTAGTGATCCTCACCTTTCTGAGGCTCAGCATTAGCAGGGAATGGGATCATTGTTTCGGGGAGGGGTGCAGACGAGCAAGCCGTGGAGCGACTGTACCCTTTTCTACCATCTTCAACTCTCCCAGCACCCATACAGAGGTTTATACTCGTGTTCTACAGCAACAAAACCCTGAGAACAAACTTTCATTCAGTGTACCTACTTAGCACCGCTGGCGAAGACGCAAGGCGGTTTTCTGCCTTGTGTTCAGGAAGCCAAACTACCCTTGGAGACAAAGTCTCATCTAGATCTGCCTTCGGAGGGAAAACTCGGTAGAAAATTGGTCTGATTTTGCAAGATTGGGGCAGTAAAAGGGTGGAAGGGTAAGTAGTGCTAAAGGCAAGTTTTATTGTGACAACTCAAAACACCTTTTTTTCTAGCCAATCAAAACGATGTGATCTTGTTTCAGTACGGTCGTTGGATACGAAAGCAACGGGGATCGGATGCGGCACGATCTGTGTATCGTCGTGCTCGCCAACATATTCCCGGCAATGTTCGTCTGGCGCTCGCCTATGCAGCATTCGAAGAATCTCTTGGTATGACAAGAAGCAATCAAACAATAGATGAAACAGTGTTAAGCCGGGCTAAAGACTTATTTCTTCTGAGTGTCGTTCTCGCTAAAGACACGCAAGTTTGTAACCTTTTGCTTCGAA